TATATACATCTTTCATTTCATCAAAGCATCGTGACGTTTGAAAATATTTCACAACAAGTCCCGCCCATCATTTTCTGGTCGATAGCCAGGTACGGAGAATTATGTCATCCGTTCCTTCTTACCTCGACATTTTCTTATTCACTTTTCACGCTCACAGGGTCGTTCACGTGAAATCATTTTGAAACATCACCCATTCTTACCAGTCGTTTACACGATTTCATTCCTCACTTTTTCACGCTCACAGCGGTCGTTCACGTGAAATCATTTTCAAGCATTGCCGATTCTTATCGGTCGTTTATACGAGTTAATTTTCAGATGAATCATGCGTGCTTTTTCTTACAGTTTGATGACTTATAGCCATTCAAACCTCTTCGTTATTTTTCGTTGTTCATAATGCATTTTCAAATCTTGTAGAGTCTGATCGGTCATTCATAGAATGATTCATGCGGAAGCTTAACATATCAAAGTTTCACTTATTTATTTATTTTAAAATTTTCATAGTATACATGGCGTAGACCTGAGTTTAAAATTTGAAGAGTAATATTAATATAAAGATTGTGTACTAAGTAGTAAATCACATTCTACATACAGCACAAGACAAGTTCCCAATATTAAAGCTCATGTTATTACAAATAAATATGTTTAAATCTCTAGAGAGTTTTTTCTATTCACATATGTATATATGCACTTATTTTATCCAGCACTCCATCTTCCACCTGGTGGACCTTGTTGTTGTTGTTGCATTTGTTGGTTCATGATATCAGGAGTATAACCGGTATGACGACCAGTCGTATCAATTGATGGTAATGCCATTCCAGAAACTCCCTAAAATAACTATAGCATAAGTTCGAAAACCGTTTCACATACCTGTTGCATAGGTGTGTTTACTTGTTGAGCCACCTGTGGAACATATCCAGAAGGTGGGTTCACTCCATTCTGATCAGGGTAAGGGGGTCTTCCATTTTCTCCAACAGCAATGCTGTATGAACTGGAGATGACTGGATTGGCTGGGTT